TGTTGCTGCTGATGGTGCTGGTGGTGGTTATTGTTCGGCTGGTGGGCGTGGACCGCGCCAATCTGCAACCACACGTCAGTGTCAGTTGATTTCATGATCTCTTCTGCAGTAAAAAAAAGAGAGAGAGAGAAAGATTGCTACGATCAGATTTTTTTTTACAATTGCAGAGCTTTTACGTCGTAAAAATTATATTTTTAAGGTGGAAACGCGCTTTGAGATAAGTATCTTTTGCTTATCGTTTTAATAAATTACACAATTGACAATGAGAGGAAAATGTTTCGTATTTATTTATGATTGTATGATAAAACAATTAATGATAAAGTAATTATTGTTAGAAGCTCCATTTTTACAATTATTATGCTATAAAGTTAGAAATATTAATAATTACATTTGCAATTCGGCATACCAAAAGAAATACAGTCTTGGTCTGTATATATTTTTATATTTATTTGGAATTCTTTTACCTGTATTGTGTGTTACCTATTTGTTACCAACATTATAAATCAATTTAAAAGGTTCTGGAAACAATTTATAATAAATATTATAAATCAATTTTTATACTAAAACTTTAAATAATGATTAATAAGGTGCCTAATATTTTTAACCTTAAGGCTGTATATAGTTAGCACCAAAAATAATTATCAATTAGAGTACAATAACTATAAAAATGGAGGCTGTATAATCTTTTATTTTACCATGCAATTATTATCGTAAGTACAAAACACTTCTCTCGGTACGTCAAGGATAGAGCCCTATACGAGTATCTTCAACAATTATTAAGATATTATAACTATTTGAAGGAAAAAAAAATCAGTAATTTGTGATCTATATCGTCGAAAATAAGACTTCTATCATGTCACGATTGCGAAAAATTCGGCAAACTTTCGTGAAATTAAATAATAGATATATCTCTAATCGCCTTATGGCATGACCAACCCTTCATCCGGTCAGATTTTTCTGGGCCCGTTGTTGTGTACAGGGATATCGCGTATTGGCCTTTGGAAAACGGAGCATCGAAGCCACTTCCGATTTCGCCGTGCAACGCGCGGATTTTCGAAAGCGGGGTGAAACATGATTAAGAGGGAGCGCGACAGCGGCGTGCTGCAGCGGGGTGGGCGGTTATACAAGGGAGTGCGGGGGAGTTGGAGAGGGCGAGGACGCGGAGGGGAACGGATGGGTGGCCGATTACGCCAATCCCCATTAGAGGGATTGTAAACTCGCGTAAATAAATAATGTATGTATCGGCGAGAGAGGAGCTGGTGTACGCGGGATGAGAGAGAGAGAGGGGGAGAGAGAGAGAAAGCGCGAGCGAGCGAGAGAGCGACGCGACGCGTAGAGGGCTCTTTGCCTAAGCAGGCATCGGTCGTGGAACTTAATAAACGGCGGAGTTATCAATTTATAATGGGTCGGCATGTCGCGCATGCGCGTGCCTACGGGGCCCCCGCCGTTTCTCTCTCGTTATATAACGGCGTGCACGCGAGTGGCTTTAGAGAACCGGTGTACACTAACTATACCCCTTCGGTCCCCCTCATCACCAGCGACCACCTACCTCCCCCGGCCACCCGCGCTTGCTGTTGGCCCCCTCCCGTTATCTCTGTGCGGCTGTTTATCTCGCTCACTCCATCATGATGTCTCCCCTTCATCTCTCGCTTCTCCCTTCATCCGCCTGCTGCTGCACTATGTCTCTCCTCCTCTCTTTGCGGCTCTCCGGTACGAAGGGACAAATTGAATTTTAGATCATGGCGTGTTCCTGTGGGGTCCGCGAATAGAGAGGGACAGAGAGAAAGATCGAGAGAAAGAGAGAGAGAGAGAGAGAGAGAGAGAGGGAGGGGGGAGGGAGAAGAGCAGAGGCGGACGTCGAGATGATACTAATTGAAATTTGAAATTGATATTAGCGAATTATTACCCCTCTCCCGTCGTTCTGCTTGGCCCAACGCAATTACCGCCGCGTGTCGGGTATCAAAAGTAATTGCTGCCAAACTTAACAAAATTCGAGCAATTCTCGTTTCGGCCGTCTGACCTCCGGCGAAAACGACGCGCAGGCTGCAGTCAGCCTTTTCTCCCTTCTCTGCATACACGTTTAAACGTACTCCTACAGAATATACTTTTAACGTTATACGAAATCGTGTTAGCTGTCCGTACTAGTATGCTCCCTATAAAAGCAGACACTCTTGATACTTGTCAAAATCAATTAAATCAAGCACCCTTCAATGGACAATTTTAAACAATTTTATTATTTGCTTGTCTCTTAATTTACCAAATTTTAAATATTTTTAAATAGCTGAAATTTATTACGAACGATTAAGTTATCATTTATATATAGCCTTGGCTAAAAATATTAGGCACCTATGTTTTTTAAATTTATTTAGAATTTTTTTACCTACATTGTTACCAGTCCTATATAAGTTTAAAAGGTTCTTAAAACAAAGGATAATTTACAATAAATGTCATAAATCAATTTTTGGGCTGAAACTTTAAATAATAGTTAATAAGGTGCCTAATATTTTTTTTTTCAGTCAAGGCTGTTGTATAATATAGATATATTTTTTCTGTTACTATTTGTATGATTATATTAATGCAATGTATGCATAAAGCGTATACTTCTCCGTCAAACCAAAAAGTCTAAAAATGAGCAAAGATATGTATTTTTTATCTTAACTCTCTGGTGAATCTATTGGACCCAGTTATACATATCTTTATCAAAAATATCAAACAATTTAATTTTTTTATATTACGCCTGCAAATTTAAATTATTCTTATTAAAATATACTTATGATTATATTAATATTAATTCTTTTTTTATGCAAGTTATGCTATTTTAGTTCCTTGACATTAATTAGTGCTTTTAATTAATAAAAATGAGTCTTAGATTAGATTCAGGCAAATGTATTTTATTTGGCGAGCATCAGCTCTGGAGAGTTAAAAAAAATTAAGTGTCAATTAAAATAAAGTTTTAGAAAACTATATAAATATTTCAACATAAATAAGCTATCAAAATAATTAATCGTAAAAAATAATTAAGTAACCAAGTAAATTTATCACAATACTTGATAGCTTGAGAAAACAATCGCAATCTATCTCTTCGGCTACTCCGAAAAATTTGTCCGCTGTGGGTGGCGGTGCCATTGGTTTTGCGTTTGCAGAGAGTTAGAGGCATAATGACGGGACATACGCATCGACAGAAGGGACGAAATGTAGCGAAGCTAATCCGCGAAGGGGAACGTGAGGCCCGCGGGTGTTCCCCGCAGCACGCGATGGAACCTCGCGGGGGCTCGCTCGCTGATCTCACCCTCGCTAACGCCCTGGCATACGCGTCTCTCTCCCTTTCTCATCCCTTCCCACCTCGTCTCTTCTCACCCCGCGCGAAATAGGGTCGGCATGTGGTCCTAGAGTGTATTTGCGGTGTTCAACCAGCCGGGCGAAATATTATGCCAGTGTTTTATTGTGCGATCATCCCGACGGCGATGCCCCACTGCGCGCGAGGGCGAAGGGATTGTGGCTACGAGTGTTGCGGAGTGTGTTTACACGTTGGCACACGTCGTCGGATTTGTTACAGGCTCGTTATACTAGGCGCGTTCGCATTTATCGATACAAAAGGCTTCGATGCCATGCCGACGGCATTTAACATGAGGAGCGACCGATTAGAATGGAAAACTCTTGTACAGATCCCTTTATTAACTTGTCGCTTTGACATGCTAGCCTGAAATTCCATTACTTAAATATTTAACGTTGAAGCTTAGAAAATTGTGATAATTGTGAATCAATTATTACATAAGAAGGCTTCAGGTTAATTAAAAATTTCATAGCCGAAAACGATTAATCTGAGGTACATAGTAAACAAATTTTGTATTTGTGTTAAAACCGCTTGTTAATTTTTTGTTATTTGAACTTTGTATGTTAAATTCGTATCCAACATTTCTTAGTGTTAAAATAACGCAATTTATGAGTAGTGAACAATTAACATAAAAGTAATGTATTTTAAAACGTAAATGCTAAGATAAATGAATAAAATTTAATACACTGTAAATGCTAATTTTTTAAAGAAATGTGCTTTCACAATTTGCGTACAAATTTCAGTGTTATATTTTTTGTGTTAATTTTTTACATAATACTTGTGTTAGTTTCTAACAAATTCATCTAATGCTAAAGTAATACAAAAATTTCAGTGGACCATTCGGGATATATAAAATGTGTTAAATTTTACATAAAAACTCTGCACTAATTATATGGAATTAAATCTCGATGGAATGAGTTAGATTTCACATACAATGTAGTTTACAATGTACGTGAACAAAAGATGTCATACGCATGAAGTTTAATAATGAATATTTTTTTAACCATGACGTAAAGGTTCTTTGTAAGCACAAATTTTACATTTTTTAAATACATTATAACTAAAAAACTACACAGTAAAAAATATTTTGTTGGAAATGTCCATTCAAGTTTTTGTTAAAATTTTGTGTTGAATTTTTAATACATTCGAGTGTTAATTTAATATAGTGTGATTATGCTATTTAAATATTTTATGTTAAAATGATATTCAACATTTCTTAGGGTCAAAATAGTATAATTTATGAGTAAGTGATGAAGTAAAAATTATGTGTTTTAAAATGTAAATTCTACGATAAATGCATAAAATACATGTTAATTTAATATATCGAAAATGTTAATTTTATTTTAAAAAAATAGTCTTCCACAGTTTGCTTAGAAATTTATTATTTTTTATATTATTTCTTTTTTTACATGACACTTGTATTAATGTCTAATATCTTACATTATTCATCTTACGTTAAATTAACATAAAAATTTGAGTTAACCGTTTAGGACACGTGAAATGTGTTAAATTTCAATTAATAACAAATTCAATTATGTATCCTTTATTGAGCTTTGTGTTTATGACATCTTTTGTTTACTACACTATAAACAATATAAACAATACTACTATAAGCTATTATACATATGTGAAAACAAACTCATCATTTCACCGAAATTCAATTTTCCATATAATTAGTACCAAGTGCTTTTCCAACTACGTAGGATTAATCATCAAACTTGCATATAT